ATAAAGAAAGAGAAGGAGGGAGGCTGAGTGACTACTTAACTCTCTCCAAGCATAAACCCTAATTCAATCGTCCGATCGATTAGACACTAGAAGGGGTTCGTGAGGTATCTCAGTACAGAAGAAACAAAGAAGAAGAAAGAAGAGAAGCAATGGCTTCATCTCACGTCAGTTAGATCAATTAATTTCCGCATAAGCAGAAGATGACCATGTTTAGGCTAAGATTCAATTAATTAGTTGGATTAAAGCTAGGGCCACCATCATGCCGTGCAATCACCGCCGCTAGCTTCGCCACCGCGGGAGCTACCTCGGCCACCACTTCGCCCTCATAGACCGACAGCCAAATCATTACCTCCACCGCGAAATTCAATCGCCGTCTCTTCCACTGTCTCTAGCTGCTCCCCGACGGCGAGGCAAGGCTCGTCCGGTCGTGCTTCCACCGCCAACGGCTTTGCCGCGCTGTGCAGCACCTCGGCCGCCTCCTCGCCTTCGACATCCATCGCCGGAGTCCGCTTTTGCCGCCGCCTCGTGCCTCTCCTTCCTCGTCTAATCCCTCCATTCTCTTTATTAGATCGAGGGCAAGCCCGTCCGCCTCTTCCAGGGCGCCGCCCATCACCGGAGCGCTGCTGCCTTCCTTCGCCCTGAGCTCTGCCAGCCACCTCCCTCCATCTCCGTGCCCCTCGGTGAGCACCCATCTCCTTTTTCTCGGTTCCTTCCGCCGCTCCCCGTGCCGCCACTCACAGCCGGTGTTGCCGCCGGTGGTCGTCAGGCTGGCGCCGCCACCGCCCAGTCGGGTTGGCTAGCGAGCCAACCCACCCTTCCGCCGTGCACCGCCACTGTGGACTCGGTCCACGGTCGACTAGCACCTTTGGCTCCGCTGACTAGTGGGGCCTGCCCTTTGTGGATGTGGTCCACACCTCTCCCCTTGCTGACATCAGCAATCGGCTTTTCCCTTTGTAAAATAATTATTAATTGCGTCATAAATCGATAATAATTCCAGAAATCCATTTAAATGGCTCAAAATTTCTAAAATTCATATATAGTTCATATGAATAACGAATTGAGCCATTCAACTTGCAAAATTCATCTAAAATTGATCCCTGTTGACGGTCGTTATAGACCAATTTCGACCGCTAATATAACTAAAATAATAGAGAATTGGTTATGCTCATAATGCATATTTTGTTTTGAAATAATTTAGTTCCACTTGTACTTGGAGAATAATTTGTTGCATGTACTGAGCAAATAAAATGAGAAGAAATGAGGAAAACTCACTCCTAAGCAAGCATATGGATAAGATGGGCCCACATGATAGGTGTAACCGTCCTGAAAACTGCATCAACTACCATAACCATCATGAGGACCCACCTGTCAGCCACTCTACTGTACTTGGGGGCCTGCTGGGCCGACCCAGGTTCGGCCGAACCCCTGGCAGCTGTGGCTCCGGCTGGCCCTACACATGGTCATCCAGGATCACTTGCCAATGACGGTTCAGGGGCAGAAAGGACATTTTGCCTTCTCCATAACCGTCATACCGACCCTATAAAAGGAGGAGCTCACTTCACTTCTCAACACAGTCAAGCAAGCTCAAGATTTCTCTCTACACTTTATTTAGTAGTTTTTGTGCTAACTAAAGTAGAATAGAATAGTTTTCGGAGTCCTCGGAGTCTTCGAAAGAGTTCGGGTATGGCTCTAGTATCTTTTCTATCGGCTTTTGTAAGACTTCCAGCATTAATGAAATATTCTTCTTTATATACTTTCGGTACTTTGTTTAGTCTGAGTATCGGCTTTACTTTACATTTGTGTCGTATTAATTGTATGGTTAGCTTCCCAGAGTGGTATTTATTAATGTAAACGAGGTACTTAGATTAATAAGTATCATTATCTGGGCATATATGCTACGGATCTGTAGAGGTGGGCCGCTGATGATGATAGCTCAGTACAGGTCTTCCTCCACGATAGTATATATTCCTAAGACAAATTCCTCCGTATTTAGCCCCGGTTGGACGGCCATGACAGGTTGTCGTAAGGAATTCGGCAACCCAGGGTGGTCTCTCGAAACACCAGGAGGGCACTATTAGGGGATATTGGCCACATGATTGTATACTAGCAATTGTAGACTAAAGATTGAGTGTATATTAGAAGTATAGGAATTGAGTTCTTTTCTATTTCTCCTTCTACTTAGTTTAGGATCATTATTAGAGGGAATCTAAAAGCGACTACTTAGTTTAGGATCATTATTAGAGGGAATCTAAAAGCTTCGCTTCGTGTCACTCTACCCATATGCTGAATTAACCCCTACTAGGCTTTGATGAAGGCAAGTAATATATATGTATATAATCATTAGCATGGTTCTCTCTTTCAATATCTTCCCTTAGAATTAAATAAATACGATACCCTGGAATACTCCCGGGTGAAATGCTATAATGGTATATCCGTATGCTTGTGGATTTTTTCTGTAACCAACCAGGACTAAAGATCTATTTTTGTCCCGGTTGTTTAACAACCAGGAAGAAAAACGTCCACCCACACGCGCGCACCAAGTCTCCGGCGCTTCTCTCTGCATCCTGTGCATGCACAGCCCCTCTCTCTCTCCATCTCCCATCCTTATCAATTTTTCTTCTCCTCCCTTATCTCCATCCTGTGCATGCATCCTCTCCATCCTTCTCCTTTCCATACTCCCCTTGCTCTTCTCTCACCCTCTCTCCAGCTCCCCTCCCCTCCCCTCCCTCTCTCCCTCCTCCCCTCCACTCCCTCTCCCCCTCCACCCCTCCCCTCCCCTCCGGCAGGCCGCGACAGAAGCAGAGGCGGCCGGCGGCGGGATGGAGGCTGAGTGTGGGCCGGTGGCAGCCGGGCGCGAGCCAACGGTAGGGAGGCCGGCCGGCGGGATGCAGGAAGAGCGCGGGCCGGCAACGGCCGGGCGAGGGCCAGTGGGATGGAGGCCGGCCGGCGGTGGCCCGGCGCGGGCCGGAGGCCTCGCCCTCCCCTCCCCAGATCCGGACGGAGAAGAAGCTGCGGGATGGGGGTGATTTGATTTTTTTGAGTTTTTTTATCTTTTTTTTTATGATTTGTGGATGTTGTGATTTGTGAATGTTTTGAATGAATATGTGAATCGATATTGTGAATGAATCTGCGATGTTGTGAATGAGTCTGTGAATCGTTGTTGTGAATGAATCTGTGAATCAATATTGTGAACGTATTTGTGATGTTGTGAATGAATCTATGAATGGATATTGTGAATGAATTTGTGATGTATTTGTGATGAATCTGTGAATCGTCTGTGAATGAAAAGATATGAAAGGAGGAAAAATAAAAGAAAAAGCCGAAGGAGAAAAAAAAATTAGTCCTCCCGGTTGGTAACACTAACCGGGACTAAAGATGCAACCGTCTTTTGTCCCGGTTGGTGTTACCAACCGGGACTAAGGATCCATCTTTAGTACCGCTTATTTCAAGCGGGACTAAAGATGGGCATCTTTAGTCCCGGATTCCTCCTCCCGGTTGGAAACTTAGGAGTAAAGGGGTTACCAACTGGGAGTACAAATGGTTTCTCCACCAGTGTGTAAGTATTTTACGATTTATTTACATTTGGATCTGTATATTAATTTATCATTTTGTACCCTAGCTGATTCCTAGACAGGGATTTAATACACAAAATAGTCTGAAAATTTAGGCTAAATTTCTGGACGTAACATGAAAATAGCCAAATTGGCCTCACTAGTCAGACCTCTTAGAAACCTGTAGCCTGACCGAAGTTCATTGTCCACTTTTACCATCTAAACACGTGCGGTGAGACCGTCTTTTGCCTGAATGTTCTGAACCACTTCTATATTTAATCTAAATTTGACCTATTGTCAAATTTGGATGTCAGCCCATACAAATTGCATTCCTTAGATTTGAACTTTGAAATAACCAATGGTTGATAGTTGACAGTGTCTCGAGATCGATTTTTACTGTAGTGCACGAATCTTGGTGTATTCCTAGCCATTTAAAAGTCAATATGTGTACATTTTCATGTAGCTGAAAACTAGACAATCCCACAGCTGGAAAATATTTTGTCAGCCAGACGATGCTCGGCAGGTGATGTTGGAAGCGCGATGCCGCCAAAACAAGGTGAGGAAGAAGACGAGAGTACCTACAGAACAGAGCTCAAATTGAATGATAAGGAACTCGATAACACATCGGGTGTAAATTAAACAGCATTTGCCATCCAGCTGAAACCACTACAAGAAAACATAATGTTTTCGGCGGCCATACGATTTCTTCGGTCAAAAATGGGCTGCCAATATTAGTCTTTAACCCTCGTTTCCTGATTAAGTGATTATACCCCTATATATACTCCCTTCGGACTGATAATATTAGTCGTTTTGAATAAGGGTAAAGTCAAACTTTAAAATCTTTAACTATAAATAATTTTTAAAATATTTATCTTGCAAATATGAAAACTATATGTATAGATTAGTCTTAAAAAGTACTTCAATAAAATCACATATTTATTGATATTTCAATATAAATTATAATAGAAAATAGTTGTAAAAGTTATTTTTGGAGACCGTGCTCTTGTCCAAAACGAAAAGTATTATCAACGAAAAGTATTATCAACCCGGAGGGAGTACATCTAAAACTAAATAATAAGATCTGGCCTAGACAAGCATATATATTTCCATCCATACACATAAAATATCATACTAATATTCATTTGTAGTAAATTCATGCGAATCAAATTAGCGAAGTCGACGGAGGACGACGACGACCCTAACGTATGTAATATTATAGTGAACTTTAGTTTCTTGCATTATATATTATCAACAACAACAAAATTAGCATCACGAAAATACTTTCCTATATGAATCAAATGATTTGACAGGCATAATATTAAATAATACAATTTACAAGTATCCACTTTTTTAAAAATAAAATGTTCTGTTTTATTTTGGGGCGGAGCGGGGGTATATTGACGGAGATAGTAACGCATGAAATTGAGAAAACGACGGCAGATAAACCAAGTCTTTGGCGGCTGACGGAGATAGTACCTCGTGACTTGCTCAATGTGCCTGCATGTGACGGCAGCGGGTAAATGTTGTTAACTAATAACATGCGCCAAAAGCTAGTTTCGTTCAACTATATATGGCAACTTTTCTGTTAAATTTCCAAGGATCCCAGATCGAAGTCGGCCCAATCAGCTGGCAACTTCAAGAATACATGAAAAAGAAATGTTGATTTGGCAGAGTGCCACCAAATGTAGTTTCGTTCAACTATATATGGCTACTTTTCGCTGAAAAATTAAATGTCCATACTAATTAAAGCTGCTAATATTGAATTTCTTCTTCCTCAGATATATATATTTCACATCTATAGCTTGCGATTATCGAAGTCTAAGTAATGTAATTGTTCACGTTTAAAACTTTGCTAATTACTTGTTTTAATTAACTAACCTTTGCATCCATTCGAAATTTCATTAATCTTACAGAAACTTTTGTCCCGGGCTCCCGGCACGGTAATTCCTTGTGCATACATTGATAACGCTGCAAATACAAAGTGAGTTACACTGGAAAACAAAATATCGAGATGGAGTCCTAAACAATTTGCTGCAGTTAAAAATACACTAGTACGAAATACGAAATATGATACGCCAGCATGTTAGTAGGAAAAGAACTCTTCAGGCTTTTTCTTTTTGCCATCCCTGTGATCAATGCGAAATACGCCAGCATGTTCATTGAGGATCCAGAGGATGGTTGTGAGCTCGCCGCCACAGGCGAGCTGCTTGGCATGGGAATCCCTTGTGCATCGGACCGACGCAAACATCAGAAGACGCACCCATGCCATGAAGATATGTTCCAGCATTTCCGACATAGAGAAGTCCTCCTTGTCCCATTTTTTCAGTTCAGGAATCAACTGCTTAAGTCTTTTATACCTATCGAAGCCAGGGGATTCGGAGCTGAAGGTTTTGGGCGTCGTAATGTTGGACTTTTCTCCTGGGATTTTCATTACCCGACTTAGCAGCGCCAAGGCGAAGCTAGTTCCGTCAGAGAGAATTATATTCTGGTCGAAAAGAGCACTTGCGAGTTCTGGCCTCGACTTGTGGGTACTATATCCTGGCCTCCAGTTGCTGATATTCATCGGCCTCATGGGTTTGGGCTGTTTCTCCTTGTCTATTAGGAGTTGGGCGAGATTCTTCTTTCCTTCCACGCTGTTATTAACAGAAGATTGTAATTGGTTGCCCTTAATTTCGTTCAGTGCTTTGAGGGCACCTTCGTACAGGCTGCGTAGCTTAAGGCCTGGTAGCATGCTTGGGCGCACCACGACGAGGAACACCATGTAATTCGACAGTGCCTTGATCGCCCGTACATGCCGCAACGATGATGCATATTCACCACTGATCAAGAGGAAGATGTCTGTGGTGATGTGCAAGATAAGGATGGTCTCTTGGAATGCAGGTGCAAAGTCCAGAGCCTCTTCTAGTTCCCGATGCATTGCTGCTTGCGGTTCCGCCAACACCGCCGCTACTTGTTCTGGTAATTCCAATGCGGGCACCATGGGCGGCTGCTTGTCAGGAATAATAGGCGGGTACGCTGACTTGAGACATTCCCATATACTTTCGAACATAAGGTTCCTAACATCTGATGACTGATAGCATAACATATGAAAGCCCAACGAGTTGTGGTATCTGTACTCCATCCAACGGTCATCCAGTGAAACTAATTCCAACACTGATTTCCACATCTTCAACTTCCATGTTATGTCACGAGTGCACTCGTCAAACAAGTTGTATTGCCCAATGATTCCTAGCCACCTCCTATAGCTAGTTGTTGGATGATCCTTGGAAAAGAACCTCGACGGATCCAGGGAGACGATGGAACGGCGAATCATGCGCCATTTCCCTGAGCACAGAAGGGAATGGTGAAGCCAGGAGCGTGGCCTATCATGCAAGAAGGAATAGGTCCATGTCGAGGCCACTGCTCTGAGGAGCCATTTGATATCCAGGATGACGATGCCACCCAGTACGATATAGGTGATCAAAACGTCAGGCTGCTGCAGACCTTCCTTGCTCTGAGACCAAAACAGCAAGAACATTGCAGATGTGATGAAATGGGAGGAGAAACGGATGGCATAGCCACCCCATGTGTGGACCATGGCTGCCTTGGTGTACAAGATGTCATACATGAGGGAGAGCTCCATGTCCACCACATCGTACAACATCTCATTCTCATTCCAGGTTTCAGGGCGGACAATCTCTTGTTTGTCGACATCATGCTCGTAAGCCATATTGTCGATGAAGGCGCCCTTGGTGATATGGAGCATGTCATGAGCCGCCAGCAGGATTTGCTCGTTATTGTCCATCTTCCTGCGGCCTATACGCCTTAAGTTTCGGATGCTATTGCTTAGTTTTATTGGCTTCTTCTGCTCGGCCTCCTTTTGGCTTGAACTTCGCATCTTCTCTAGCTTGGCGCGCCGCAGAGCGAATGCTCTCTCCCCATACTTGACAATGCCCATGATGAACATGACTGATGAGGACACCCGGACAATCGTGCCGCCGCTACTGAAGAATACATTCTTGTACAGTATATAGATTGTTCCCAACACCTGCATGAAAAACCCTATCATGTCGCGCCATGATAGGATGTTGTCTTCCAAGGAGTAGGAGGTGATGTTGTCCGGACCACCAGCATGGAACATCAGCAATGCGGCCCAGATCGTCACCAGCTGCACCGACTGGGACGACGGTGTGCTGCCGCCGATGGAGGACAGCTTGCCAAGCGCGAACGTCGGGGCCCAATTAGCCAACTGGTACGCCAGCCACAGGACCAACGTCTCCATGCCTGTGGCTTTACGGCGGCGAACATCGGCGAGGAAGACGAGGAGGAGTTGTGCCACGAAGCTGGAGAGTATTGCCAACCGGATCATCCACGCATTCCAGAAGAGCTGCAAGCCAATCATCCATCCAGGCATCGCCGACCCTGCTATAGTGAATGGGTACATGTTAGTCCACAAGGACAAAAGATTAACGCAAATTACATGTTAAGAGATCAAGGACAACAACTGATCCAGGATATATAAAACTGAATGAATATCCGTTACACCTCCCAGTATAATCACTGATCAACTACGCACCTGATTGATATCCCAGTCAAGCTTGGAAGCTACAAACTGCTATGATAGCAGGGAGTTATAACAAGACGTAGAACTTGCGCCCATCTAGGATTTATGCCTCTGTTGCATGCGCTCTACATTTCTATATTATTAGCCCAAAGGTTTAATGCATGTCACAGTGGATGCCAGCGTGATCAAACCTTTTCAATCATCCGCCTTATTCTAAGTTACAAGGAGCGCACTGCATGCATGTGCTTTTGTAGCCATGTAATAGAAACAAACTATGGGAATTAAGTAAAGGTAACGTACACTCATCTATAATTGTTTTGTACAACTATATCTGAGCACCACATGAGCATCACTACCATTCCAGGGACATGCACTCTACATTTCTATATTATTAGCCCAAAGGTTTAATGCATGTCACAGTGATCAAACCTTTTCAATCATCCGCCTTATTCTAAGTTACAAGCATATACTAGCTAGGTACGCACTGCATGCATGTGCTTTTGTAGCCATGTAATAGAAACAAACTATGGGAATTAATTAAAGGTAACGCACTCTCATATATAATTGTTTTGTACAACTATATCTGAGCACCACATGAGCATCACTACCATTCCAGGGAATGGGATAGATCCCCAGTTGCTTCTGCTACATCTGGATTTGCTAAAAGTGCTATAGCTCTTCCACATGCTCCAAATTAATGACCAGTTGGTTTTGCCACAGCTGGATTTACTAAAAGTGCTATGGCTCTTCCACATGCTCCAAATGAATGTAGGTAGTTACTCCCTCCATTTTAGGCTATAAAAAGTTTTGCCTTTGGTTAAAGTCAAACTGTTTCAAGTTGATTAAGTTTATATACAAATATAGTAATATTTATAATACTAAATTAGTTTCATCAAATCAATAATTGAATATATTTTCATAATAAATTTGTCTTAGGTTGAAAATTTTACTACTTTTTTCTACAAGCTTGATCAAACTTAAAGTAGTTTGACTTTGACCAAAATCAAAACGTCTTATAACCTAAAACAGAGGGAGTAATTTCCATTGAAAGATGCCATCTTCATAAGATGACACTACACCATGTCCTAAAAGCACCAACAGAACATCTGTCGGCAGAGGCCAGCTTTCACGTCATCTTATCTGTCGGAAAAGACCTTTACCGATAGAAAGAGTGTGTCCCTGAGTAGCCTGTCGTTAATGGAATCCACCGACAGACAGTATGACCTAGATATGTTAGCTTTCCCGACAGACCTATCTATAGTGAGATACAACAAACAGTCAGACAACAATATCAATCATTGCAGTATAATTAGTATTTTGATTATTTGATAGCATGGGCGAGAACCATTTGTGTACTTTTGTCATCCCCAAATAACTCTAGAACCGGATGTCCATCAACCTGCGCCCCATCCGGTGTCCACTCCGCCTAGCTGCCTTCGCCTGGCCGCAACTCCGCACCAATCTGTGCGGATGCACCCCACCGTGCCTCTCTGCCCTCGAAAGGCCACCGAACGCCAGATAGGAGATGAGGAGGAGGTCGCCGACGAGCTGCTGTCTAACGGCGCGTGGAAGAAAGCTAGTGAGGCGGCGGCGGCTTGAAGAATCAAGAGGAGCTAGGCTGGATCTAGGGTCCAGGTGACGAGCAGTTATATACCAACAGATAGTGGGTTGGAAGGTCTTTCCAACAGACAGTTTGACACGAGATTAACAATCAGCGACAGAAAGTTTGCCCCTAGAAAACCATAGAGTTCCCGACAGATGGTATGTCACAAGCTTTTACCGACAGACAGAAGGTTAGATGTTGATTCTCTATTTTTACCCACACACATCTGTGGGCAATTCTTTGACATGGTGTAGTGTGATAATAGCAAAGAAAATACAAGTATAAGAAAATATTGTTCTTGATTTCATATACATTGTTTTATTAATTATATCGTAGCATTTTAAGTTATGCCATCTTAATTGACACCAGGCTGTATTCAGTATTGAAAAAAAAATTGAAAACATTACAAGGGGGTCAAGAAATAGAACTGAATTTTCCACGCACAAAAAAAAAGAAATCTGAACATATTTTACTCCCTCCATTCCAAAATATAAGGCACAACCACCCTTAACCCAAAGACCAAGAAATAATTATTATCATCTTGTAGTTTGTACTAAATATAATGCATGCATACTAATATTCATTTGTAGTAAATTCATGCGAATCAAATTAGCGAAGTCGACTGAGGACGACGACGACCCTAACGTATGTAGTGAAGTCATAATTTATATTATTTGGGTTAACCTGCCCTCCGTCAAAGGGAAGTCCACTAGATGATTCGTCTTCTTTTGCTTTTATAGTTGTGTGTAGATAAGTACTAGCCTATAACTAAGGGGATGCCTAACGTACAATTATTGTCTGACAAGTTGGGATAAAGAAATGAGTAAGCATGCCCGTAATTGAATAATTAAAGCTAGCTTTCGTATTAAATTTATTAGTGATCTCCATGAAACCACCACTGGTGGAGAAATCGTTTGTAGTCCCGGTTCGTAACCCCCCTTTATATATATATATATATATATATATATATATATATATATATATATATATATATATATATATATATATATATATATATATATGCATGTATATAGAATACATATATATATATGCGTATGTATATATGTATAAATACATATATTACACACATATTTATAATTTAAAGCACTTAACATTTTAACATTTTATGTACATATATGTTACCAAAATATATATTAACACTAAAGTAAATGTACGTACATATATAAATATATATATATATATATATACATGCATGTATAGTACAATCCATTTGCTCGCTAGCTATAGCTACGACTTCGTCGCCTGCGTTACGTCAGAAGAGGAAGGACCGACGTTACAAATTGTCGATCCGTCGTAGTAGAATTCACCATCGGGATTAAGGACTTCTTCGTTGATGAACCCCATCAGTTGTTCTTGAACAGCCGTGATAAAATCCTTGTGTGGGAGTTTTTCCCTCATGTGAATACGCTATCATTCGAAAAATAATGACATATCAATATATGAAATTAATAAACAACTTAACAAATCAATACGCAATGAAATTTTGAATGGTTTATGTATACATACATCGAGCTCTCGTTTGGTGTATATTTGGTTTGATAGGCAGTGGGCATACTCGCGTACGTAGTAGCGCATAAGTTAGTTCCCTTGTCCTGCTTTGCACACTACATGAGAAACGATGAGAGATTTAATATACTCTTTATATTAACTGTAACTAGAGATTCAATTCAATATAATTTTGGATCATGCATGTACTCACTGGAAAATGAAACCTCTGTCCAAGTTTTTCTTTCCAAGTCCCGCGGACCAATTGACGGAACTGATCCCAAGCCCTACATGTGCAGTTGCAAGCTATGATTAATTAAATATTACCCAACATCAACATAATAGCAACAGAGTCCCGCGACTTTGGAATAGATGGCATTATATTACCTGTCTATCAGTTGGAAGACCTTGTCAAAAACCTTCTCCTCTTTATTCATTGAGTCGTACACAGTGACTCTGCATGCGGCCAAGTCAAAAAAGAACAGGACCCAGTGGAAACTGGAATATGCGTGAGATAAGATAAATATCAGAATGTATATGTTATATGTATGGGAATGAAATTTGTTCGAACGACAATAAAAATTCACTCTGTGTTGTACGGCAATAGTATGAACGTCTTGTAATGCTGCTGTGTTAGGAGATGGACGAGATTGTCCTCTGTATCTTTCTCGTACTTGTCGAGCATTTCGGTGTTGATTTTCCGAGGGTCGATGAACCCAGTATCGTAAACCCCCCGCCGTCGGGCCCTTTGAATCTCCATTCTACAACAATGAAAGGAAATTATTATTGCTTACATATATGCCAGGAGCTAATTATTTGTAACACCCTAAAATTCGACCAATAAAAATTAAATTCTAAAAATGCGGACCTTCGAAAACTTTATAAATAAATTGCATCATGCCGATTTTGTTCAATGATTTTATTGGATTTTGATCTCGGAGTTCATCGATTACAAATAGAGGAAAAATTAATTAGGAATTAACCCTGAAATTAGGTTGGTTAAAGAAATAAATAAATTATAATTTAAAATAAAGATTAGGTGTGGATTGAAATAAATAAAATATTACCACGACCATATTTGTATCAATTAAATTTAAATGCGATGGAATAAGAATTAACCCTAATTAAAAATTCAAATAAATTATATAAATAAAATATGGGTAATATTAGTCTAGGGTGAATTCATTAGTTAAGATAACACAAATATTGAGTAAAATCCATATATGCAAAAAATTAGGAATGGTGGAATCAAATTTATAAAAGAAATAGACTAAAATGAGAAAAATAGGAAAATGCACTGTTCATTTCACTCTAGGTGCTCGACGTGGTCCCCCTAACCCAGCCCCCTCCTCTGCCGTCGTCATCACCGTCGCCGTCACGCCGCGTACCGTCGTGTCCCCGTGCATCGCATTTCCTAGCCCTAGCCCCTCCTCTGCCAAGCTGCCTCGCGCCCCGCGCGCCGCGCGCTGCCTCGCCTCCCCTCTGCCGTCGCCGACGCGTCTTGCCGCCACCGCTGCGCCGCGCACCATCGCCATCGCCGCTGCCGCGCCACGCCGCCGTCGCATCGCCTCGCGCCGCGCGCTCACCGCCCCGCGCCCCGTGCCCTGTCACGCGTCGCCGTGCCGCTGTCCCGTCGCCGTCGTGTCGCCGTCCCGCGCCTCGCGCCGCGAGCCGCCGCGCGCCGTCGCTGCCTGTCGCGTCGCCGTTGTCACCGTCGCCGTCGACGTCCCGTCGCCACGCGCGCGTCCCATCGCCGCCACGTGCCCCGCGCCCCGCCACGCCGCTCTCCCGCCGCGTCGCCGCCCGTCGCGTCGCCGCTGTCGCCGTCGACGTCCAGTCGCCGCGCGCGCGTCCCATCGCCGCCTCGCGCCACGCGCCGCCGTGCCGCCGTCGCGTCCCCCGCCCCCTCTCTCTTCCCTCTCCCCTTACTCTCCCCCCCTCTCCCCAATAAAAACCCCGGCCCCTTCCCCCTTCTCCACCCCACTCCATTCCCTCCTCCTCTCCCTCTCCCCCTCTCCACGCGCCGCCGTCGTTGTGCCGCCGCGCCGCCGCCGCAAAGCCACTGCGCCGTGCCGC